CCCCCCCCTTTCCTGTTTGGAAAATCTCTTCTCCCCTCCTCTCTCTCCTTCATTCAGCCCTCTGTTGCATTCGGTGTCTCTCTCCGAATGCCTGTTTTTGGCTCCAGAACTCCCCCACGGTCCTTTCACACTGTTTTAATGTTAACAGGATGCTCTGTGTTCTGCCTCCTTACAGTCCCAAAGCAGAGCAAACATGCAAATCTGTGTTTCTTCATGGCCGACTTAAGCTTTAACTCATCCCCTGGCTCAGCCCCAGCGCTCCGATCCAAGAATTTGATAAATCTTAAAAGCAGCTCGCCATGGAGTGCGTCTGTTTGGCATGCACGCTCTTGTAATCACTTGTTTGTGGAAGATAATTATTTTTGATTTATTCTTTAGAATATTATCGTCCCTACAATTGAATTGGAAGCTATCCTAATGACTTCTGTTTCTATTTTTTTATTTATTTATTTTTGGTTGCATAAAAACTGCGACCACGTTGTAGAACTTTACACAGTGAAAATGTATCAAAGAGTTTTTCGTGTCAGTCTCCAAACATGTTTGTTTCTGCTGTAAAGTTTTAACATGGGCATCAATGGATATTGACTCGCCTTTGGGGGCACCCTCAAGTGGCCATTAGAGGAACTGCAGATTTGGTGCTTTTGATCCACATCTGCTTCTCTCAAGAAATGAGAGTTGTGCTTTAGAAGTGCTGATAGTTGGTTTTTGTCAACTTTTACCAGAGCCAAGCTAGCTACAATTTCGCCATTATCACTTCTAACGTATGCTAACCTACACCTTAACCCACTTACCGTACAAAGTTACAGATTAAAAGGAAATCTTGCTTTTTTGAAGGAAACCAAACAGTACGATCTTGTTAGAGAACAAAAGCATTTGTTTCGTATGGTTTTGCAAAAGAAAGCATGTGCAATAACAACAACAATAAAACAATGCTTGTAATGACACTCAAGCCCATAATGAGAAAATAAAACACCCAGACAGGCAAAAAATATTCACACGTGCTGACACTGTGAATAGATTAGATCATCTCTGGCTTTGTTGTTGTGCATCAGCGGCGGCTTAAAAAGAGAGGAAAGTACATGCTGACGATTGGATTAACGCTGCCGGCAGACTCCAGGTGAAAGAGCTAAGCTGCTGCGTGCACGCGTGTCTCACGCCCGGCTGCTTCAAGCACAGTCCAAAATGAAAGCTGTCATGTAGAAAACGCCCCTCATTTGATTCAGGACGAGCTAGACAGGATTCAGAGGTTTAAATGTAAAGATGTTGGTGAATTAAAGCAGCTTAGGCTTGTTTCTGACCCAGTGACACACAGCTCCTCTTTTAGAGAGAAGCATGTTACAAGTTAAACATTTTTTCCACAGTTTAATGATGTCCTAACATGTATTCTTTTCTTTCTTTTTTTCCCCTCACAGAGAAGACCCCTCAGCTCGTCGCTTTCCCATCTCATTGATCACCGACGACAGCTTTTCAACTTTGGTAAGCCAACACAGTTTTGACATGAATTCTTCTCAGTATTTTAGTTAAAAACACAGACGTGTTACAGTAACACGTTTGAATAAATTCATGAATGGCTGATGAGTTATTTCACTCCAGAACAAAGAACATAGACACAGTGACTCATGCTGTGAAAAGCACGGCCACTATAGGGGAACAGTCGGCTACAAACATAACGTTTTTCCATACAGGACACAGCGAGGGCCCTTGTGAACATAATAATGTTACCCACAGCTGTCTCAATGATATAAATACCATGCTAATACAACCTGAACTACAGCAAAAAAACAAAAAACTTTACTTAAAAAGAACTTTATCCACTTATTTAAAAAGTGTATATTTAAATTTATAAGTGACATCTCAATGCAATTTAGAAGTAGGTGTAGACCCTACAATATTACAGAAATAATGTTCAGCAACTTATATGAAACTCATTTCTGCATGTCACGCTGCAGCTAAGCATGTTTCAGTTTGACAAGGATGCAGTTTCATGCAAAACAAAGTCAGCGGAGAGCGATGAGTTGTTTTCTACTCTTCTACTCTGGTCTTGAACAACTTAATAAATGTGCTCCATCCGATTTTACCTCCACGAGGTAAAATGACGCACCATCGCTGCCATCTGCAGAGCCACCTTGTATGCATATAAACCTACTAGAGACATCGCTGATAAACTCTGGCTTAATGAGAGGTTTTAAAGTGACATAAAGAAAAGAAAAAGCAAAAGCAGGAAACTGTGGCCTGCTGCCAGATTCACTACTTCTGCTCATATGCCCCCATGACATTTCACACTCAGTTTTCCCATGACTCATGGGGCCCGGGGAGCCATCTCTAAGTGACTGCACTCAGCCAGATGATTAGCTTGACTATTGTCAAATATATATATATATATGATAGAGGGGGAATTATGCTCACAAAGAAGAGAAATGATTGTTTGCGTCGGTGTCATGACGGATATTTTTGTACGCCAAAAAGGAGTCATTAAGCTGAAAGTCTAATCTTGTGTTTTCCCGCTGATATGTGTTTGAGTGGCGTCACAGAGAGAGAAATGACAGAGCGAGCGGCAGGACGGAGATTTCACAAACATTTGTTTCTATATCTAGCTTGTGTTAACAACGCGCTTGCTCCTAAGCAACGACTTCTGGATGCATTTGAGCTGTGTTTGTTTGCGTGAGCCGGTGGGTGTTTGTGTACGTGTCAGTTGATTTCTAGCAGATTGTGTGCGTAGGTGTAGGTGTATACAAGCGCGGTAGTGCAGTAATTGGCATCATAATTCACGTCGGTTTGGGTAATAAAGAGAGGGCTTGGGCTGACAGACAGGAAGTTTTGAGAAACACGGCGGCGAGCTCGTGCTGTGTAAACATGTCACAGTTGTCCTGTTTGTCCTGGCAGCTGTTTGTTTGATGTGTCAATAATGGAAAGTTATTCAGTTCACAAGTGTAATTCCAGCTCTTCATGATCATGAATGGTCCACTGTCTACTTGGTGGGCACGGTAGGCTGGTAGAGATTTGCCTCCACTCTTTAATACCATAATAAAAAGGAAATAATAAGCTAAAAAAAAAACCTAAATTATTAGCACTGAACCTTCAGGAGATACAGCCAAAACGAGCTTTGATGTATTTCACAGCTATAGGGCCTCGTTACCCTGTCTTTAATTAGCATAGTTTTCTTTTGTTTAACTGTCTGTCAATATGTGCGTATCTGATAGTGATGTGTCGGTCGCGAACGAAATGGCTCTTAGAGCCGGGTCTTTGACGTGAACGACGCGAGCCGGCTCCTTATCGCGTGCAGTGGGGTTTTTTTTTCTTTCTCTCACCCTCTCTCTCGCACTTTTTTTCCGCTTCACTCGCATGCCAGCCTTGTGCTTTACGCTGGGCAGAGGGGGGAGGGGCGGTAGTTACACTCAGTAGCACAGGAACAGAGCCGGAGGGAGAGACAGAGAAAGAG